GACAAAGACACAGTGACAAGACTGGGCTTAAATACACAGACAACAATTACTAACAACAAACACCTGAGGGAGACACATGAGGATCAGGTGTGAGTAGGTGGGGCTGGAGCAAGGGCAAGACAGGAGGAAGGAAACATGAACATGACAGAAACAAAACATAAAAACACTTAACACAGACAGAAATCATAACAAGTACAGATGTATGAATTTGAACTTTCAAAAATGCACCAGAAATGATTAGGAAGCACAAAAAACAAATCAAATAAGAAAAAAACCCAGTAGAGCAGGAACCAAACTAACCAATTAAAAATTCTCTTTTTAAACCCTCAGTGAAAAGGTGATGTTTTCCATTATACAAATATCTTGTACAATACGAATCCATTCTTCAGTGGTGGGTGTTTCGGCTTTCAGACATTTTCTTGTAATGTTTCAGCCAATTTTGGACTCCTTACATTTTCAAGCTGTTATGTACTTTCTATTTCTTGCATTTAAACAATATAAGGAGTATTTCATTTCAACTTGTTTTTATTGCAGCTTGTCATCATTCAAAAATTAAAAAACAGAACCTACCTAGACAAATGACACCTCATACCTACAGTGAATTTATTTGTGGTTGGAAGAGAAGTATAAAGATAAACCATTCTGACACTGGTTTGTTCAATCCGTCACACCTGTGTGACAAATCCCATCACGCTGCAGCAGACATATCAGAAGTTTGTAGCCTCGTATGAAGATATGCAGCTGAAACTAGTGAAGCCAAACTATTCAACATGAACCTTTTAATACAACATTACAGTCATTCTGGCCTTTAGACAACTAGGTTTTGGGGAGGTGGGGTTGGGCACTGAGCATTTGTCCAACCAATTGGTTGAAAATCCCTCAAAAGCAGCTAAAACTGGAAAAAATATAATTAATAGGTAGCAACCCCCTAAAAATCGTCCAAAACGGAAAAAAAATATGAACGATTGGTTGGAAACACCTGAAATGCAGCTAAAACTGGATAAAAGCATAATTACTTTTTATTTTTCCTTAAACTACTTTTACTTTTGTACTTTAAGTCATTCATTTTAAAACCAGTACTTTTACACTTTTACTTGAGTAAAAAGCCTGAGTTGATTCTTTGACTTCAACAGAAGTATTTATAAGTATTTATACTTCTGAGTAATGAGTGTGAATACATTTGGCACCTTGATTTATTACTATTTGTAGCTACAGCTAGCTTAATTTGAGACTGTCAGCTACAAGACTGCTATTTTCTTTATCTCAGAGGGGTAGATTCTCTCACACTTGATGATGTCCATCTGGACAACCGATTTGATTTGTTTCTAAAAGGTCAAACCAGGTTAGATGTTTGTTTTCATATCATACGTATGAACAAACAGAAATCTTTTAGTTATTATTGTCTTACACAATCCTCCACACAGGCACTGGTCAGTGAAAACAAAGGGTCAAAGTGTCCCACAATGGGAATCTTTGCAGACATTTTGCACAGCACCAACATGGGAACAGTAAAGTGTGGATTTATACCGGTGTTTCTGAGTTTCCTCCAAAGAAAGTAACTTGATGCCACGTCGAAACAAGAACCCACGTGGCGTTGAAGTTGGGGAACTCTGAGAAATAGGTCCTGACGTCGCCTGAAGCTCTCCTCAGGATGGACCGGTCCTGGCTCTCTCTGTAGAAGACTCTCCCGGCGCGGCGGTTGTCCACGTCAGCCCAGAACGGCGCCACGACCCTTCTGTCCCCGGCAATCGGAAACGCCACAGGTGTGAACTGAGAGACCTCCCTCAGGAAAGACACAAGGCCGTTGTTGTTAACCTGCGGAGGAAGGGAAATAAAACACACCGACGTGTCAGACTTGTTTATGGGATTAGTTGGAAGTGCTGAGGAGAGCAGTTAAATGTGGACGGTGTTCTAAGCTCACAGAGTAAACTGGCTTTAGTCAGCAAAAGCTCTCATAACCAATGTTTGCACTTCCTACGCAGCAAACGGATGTGACTTTTTAACCTGAACGATGACTGCAGCTGAGAAAACCTGGTTTCTGCTGCTCAAGCACCTGCATCATCATCACACGAAGAAGAGCGTCTGCCGTTTTTAAATCTGCCAGTACGGCAGTGAGCAAATACATGACCCTGCTTCCTTTGAGGGAAATGAAGGGTTGTGTTGTTTTCAACATAAAATCTAAGAAAGGATGAAGATTCTGTTTCTAATGACAAACTACATGGACCAACGATTCATTCAACAGGAAAAACAACCCAACAATAATAAACAAAGCTTTAAAATGTTCAGTAGAAATGCTGTTTTTCTCGTTTTATCAGCGACGCAGTTTGGTTTGTGACTTGGCTGGAATACGAACAAAAAGTCAAAGGTTTTATAAAAGAAGGATTAAAACACTGACTTGGTTTCTGTTTGGTCTGTCGGTTGATGCCATGTCAGCTTTTGTTTTTGAATTTTTAGTAAATAAATCTTCAGATTGGATGGTTGAAATTCCTTTACCTCTATCTGCACTAAAAAAAACAGCCCACTAAACGTGAGGAAGAGGAGTAGTAAGCTGTAAAGAATGGCCATGTATGTTAGCAGTTTAATTCCTGCTCAGACCTCATTCTTCAGCGTGTTTTTAACTGTCAGACTGTAATCAAGTGAGTTAAATACCAGTTTAAATAGCCTCAATATGCATCGAAAACAAAACAGAGACCACCGCTGCAATGGCGGCTTCTTTACAATGGTTGCTTTGTTGATCTGCCTACATTTAGTAGTTACTGTACCCCCCACTGAACTGGTGTGACTCCTTATAAGCAGCAGAGTTATTACCTGAACGTGTTAAGGTAAAAATAAGAAAAAAGTTAAAGATAATGAAAAAATACATTATTTTATGCACATTTGTCAAACTCAAGGCCCACGGGCCAAATGTGGCCTGCTACTGCAGTTTATGTGGCCCGCTAAGAGCTTCAAATATGTATTACTGTCTTAAAATAAGTGTGTGCTGATTTAAAGTTAGCATTGACGATAAATTGTCAATTACTTTTACCCATGAAATGACAAAATGCCACCACTAGGTGGAGCTGAACAGAGTTCAAAAGTAGCCGACAGCTGGTGTAAAATTTACATTTCACTACATTTTCTCCAGACACTTTTGCTGCAGCCCAATTGTACTGGGAAGTGTGGATTTCCTACTTACAAGTCATAAATTTAAACTGGAACACCCCCTCCAGTTGGAATTCCCTGTAGGAAAATGGGAGAGTTCAGAAATGAAGACGGCAGCTACTCACCACAACTCATATGTGAGTAAAACTCTCTTACTTTTACTTTTAGTAATATTATTTATTTCACATTTAGTCAGTTGTACATGTAGTACTTTTCAGTGTTTATAAGAGGATGTGTTAAAACCTAGCTGTTTGTGTGCAGGAAATACCAGGTAGAGCTCAGTTAGTGTTCTTTAGTGCTCAGTCGTAGCAATGAGACGAGGAACGTGATGTTTTATGTTTAGTTGAGGTTAAACACAAAAAGTTGAAGTTAATTACAACTGACCCTTTGAGGACCACCATCATGTGGCCCTTGGTGGTGTTGTATGGGTGAGTTTCTCTTCAGTTTTAAGTCAGTCCTGGTTGGTTTTAGGGCTGATTGGACCTGCCGTGGTTGTGTTACATTCATTTCACTTGGTTAAACCACAGCACAGATGTCACATTCACAGCGGAGTTGCATTTAAAACGTTGCAGTTCTCAGTGTGACACACAGTTGGGATGTTAGGCTCATTAAACGATAATCCAACAAAAATGCAACTCAAACGGCTCTGAACTGAGTTTTTAAAGAAACAACATTGGTGTGTGTGTGTGTGTGTGACAGTTGCATACAGAGTGTGTCACAAAAATCAGGTTGTGTAAACATTTTGGGGTACATAATAACTGGCAGGTGTGAACGGCACCAATCAGTGCTGTCCTTTTGCAGTTGAGTCAACGGAGACGAATATTTAACAACAGGTCTGAACAGCTTCTTAGTGACACGTCAGTAAACAGCTGCCTATTTAGTCATCCTGCAAGAAAGCAAAAGGCAACAAATGCAATCATTTAGAAGCATCTGGCTAATGTGCACAACACACAATACGCCCCTCTCTGGTCTCCAACATAAGCAGAAATATCTAATTGTGTGTGATTAATACAGCTTTAACATGCAATATGGGGAAAAAAAGAATCATTAAATCATAGAAGAGATTTTAACGGCTGCAGATGCAAGTTTAAAGCTGCAGTCTGCTAAAAAGGCATGTTTAAGAACTGCAGAGTAGAATCATCAGAAGCACTAAGTTCTAACGTCACATACAGAACCTCTTACACAGATCAGAGTTGAGAGATTAGTTCTCATAAAAGGCCTTCATTCATGCATTGTATTGGTGTTTATCTGGCATGAAGAGCTCGCCCCCGCCGACTGACTTCTTCCTTTTGTGTCCTAAACTCCGGTGTGAACTTTGTTTTTTCGTATTCAGCCTGAGAGGCATGTGACAGTGACAAAGCAATGTCAGATGGTTGAGCTCCACTCCACACATGCATGAAAAGCAGAATTTGAAGAACTTTGCTGTAAAAACAGCAGAGGAAGTTTTGTTTGGCACAGCTCGGGGAGCTTGGTTAATTGCCCGACCACAGTCTTCCCCTATGAATCAGTGTGATGTGGTGAGAATGTGGCCGATGTGAGGTGGGGAGGTGTGTGTGTGTGTGTGTGTGTGTGTGTGTGTGTGTGTGTGTGTGGGGGTGGGGGTGACTTCTGGGACAGGGCTTAGAGGTCAGCCAGAGCCTCATCTGATGCAACAAGGACAAAGCAAGAGCGAAGACACAGAGACGTATGACCAGAGGTGCTGTACATGAGCTGCAAACCTTCCACCTACTAATGAGAGATGTGTGGAGGTAGCAGCTTATAAGTGACACTATACACCAGAATTAGTGCAGAAAAAAAAAACAACAATAAAAGATACAAATTCTAGTACTAGAATAAGATTTGTTTGGCGTTCAGTGATGTGTGATGCTTGTGTCACATTTACTGTGAGGCTGAGTGGATTCAGAGTAGCCTAAAACGATGCTGCACTACAAACTAAGGTTTAAAAACACAGGAGTAAAAGGTGCCATCAGTCAATCATAAGTAGTATTCCTCCTCTAATATTTCTTTCCCTCACTGGTACCACTTCACTTCATAACACACTTCCTGTTGTTTTTGGGAAATCTTCACCGGATATAGCCAGGATTTTGCTTGGGTGGTTTTCTTTAGAGCAAAGCAATTTATGGACTAAAACAAACTTTTCTTCTGGCTCGAGTCAAGCCAAAGCAAAGTCCTCAAGGAAAAAGGTGCCCATACATCAGCTTAAGAAAACATTAGTTTTCCTTGTCAAAAAACTGAGGTTTCACAGCCACAAACATGTCCAATTATTTGACAAGACCAAAGAGAGTGACTACAGTCTACGGTCTGTGCACTTAGCCTGTACCTCCTCAGTTCTGGGTCACCTTCAGTTACGGAGTTCAGATCGAGGCAATAAATCCTGTCTGCAGTGGCGTGTAAGGACTTAAATGCACCTTCTATTGCACTTAAACAGAGCCGCACTAAAGTGGACACCTCTGGTCCAAGTTTCAATCACTCTGAAATTAAAGGTGCGAAAGAGATGTACTGAAAGTTTTAAACATGGCCACTATTTAAAACTTGACTGCAGCACAAATACAAAATAAAATCCGTCTACTCCGGTGCTAAACGGAAATGGTGAAAAAGAAAAACAATATGCTTCTTTTGAAATCACATTAAGAAGTAAAATCGTTTTGTGTGCAATTAATCATCAGGAAAACTGTCAACAACTAATATTTGCCCTTTTGCAATTAATGCAATTAATGCCATGTGATGATGATGTATTTTTGTGTGACACACCATCACTGTCAGGCGCATGGAAGCCAGGACAGAGCAGCTAACGCTAATGCTAACCACCAAAATAATGACAAACTGGAGCACAAGGAAAGCCAGAAAATACAGGTCAAGAACACAACATCAGCTACAGGCAAGTGCAACTGTCTTCTATCAATCGTTATCGGTTTAATGCCGCAATTAATCATAACTGTTTTTGCAAATTTCACCCAACCCTAACCTATATTTTATTTGATTCGATTTAGTTTAGTGGTGTGTTCCTTTCTAATATCAGTCTCAATAGGTTTATAATAGATGAAGAGACTTTATGGTTCATTCTTCAACAAGAACCATCAGTGAAAACTGGAAGAAACTATTACGCCTGGTCGACGATCTGTCAAACATTATACAAAACTAAAACTTGTGATTTTTTTGGGGGAAAAAAAGAAACTTACTCTTCACTAGCCCAACAATTGTTTATATTTAATATGATCACCTGAAAGAAGAAATAAATTAAACTTTGTGCTAAGAAGTAAATAATATAACTAAAAGTCCTAAAATTCTTTTACAACAAATTGTTCATTTTCATCACACAACTAAGACAAAAGGGTGAGATTTGCTCGTGTTTATTTGAGTTAGTAAAATATCTTATGTACCAGTGGATAGATTTTAATGAAACTCTCAGAAAGTAACCAATAGCAGCACGATGGCTCAGAGGTTAGCACTGATGATTCACAGCAAGAAGGTTGAGGGTTTGGATCTGGGGTCTTTCTTTGTTGAGTTTGAATGTGTGTATTCTCTGTGTACTCTGGTTTCCTCCCACAGACCAAACGTTAGGGTGCCTTCAGGCTTAGGCCTCTCTTGTAAGAGATTTGTGGTATTAATGTCATTTGCCTGATTAAAAAAGGTTAATAAATAAAAAACAAGTATTTACACACATCCCTAACCAC